GCTGCTTAGTCCTAGGTCACAAATTAGTATCTTCCCTTGGCCACAGGGCCTGATTGTGGATTCTAAGCTGAGAGTTTCGTTCATTCGTTTATTCGTTCGTTCATTCATTCATTCATTCATTCATCCAACAGTTATTTAACCCCTACTGTGTGTCAGGTACCATTATAGGCATTTGTTAAAGCAAAGAGTGAGACAGGCAAAGTCCTTATATGTGTGGAGGTCACATTCCAGTGAAAGAGATGAACCAACAAATAAATGTGCTTTCCATGAATCGGGACAGGTGGCCATTTGTGTTTCTGTACACTGACAAAGGTGTTTATGGATCGCACTGTCTAGTTTTAACAATGCTAACTCTCATCGACGTGGATGAATGGGTTACAAAGATTCCTGCATGATATCACTTATACGTGGGATATAAACCTGAAAGCAATAAATGAACAGGACAGAGACGCATGGACATAGACAATAGATTAGTGATTACCAGAGGTTAGAGAGTAGGAGAGGAGTGGGGAGGTAGACGGGGTGAAAGGGGTCAAATATGTGGTGACAGAAAGAAATCTAACTATGGGAGGTAAACACACAGTGCAAATATATTTATGCCTTACTGTTAAAGTGTACAGCTGAAACTTATTGGATTTCGTTAACCAATGTTACCATAAAAATAACTTTAATTAATTAATTAAAATAAAAGGAAAAAAAAAGTTTCCTGCAAAAAAAACAAAACCGAAATGTTATTAACTTGGAAGCAAGAGGAAGCAACCAAGACATCCTGTTGCTAATATATTTCTTGCCTCTAGGGGGAGCGTCTCATCAGACAAAATAAGATAACATGGAAAATGGTTTCAAAAACAGATGTTTAAAAAGATTTCCTTCTTTATGTAATTTTGTTACCAAAAGGAATGTGGTTCACTCATAAAAACCCTTATAGCTGAACACTTAAAACGTTGGAAATATAATTTCCTCGCCTACTTATTACTTACTTATCTCTCCCCGCTTATATGTCCTGCACACATATAAGGACTTTGCCTGTCTCACGGACATGAATAGACAGTTTGTAGAAAAAGAAACAGCAGGATCAGAAGATTCTGAACATATGCAAAGATGGTCAACTCATCCATAAAAAAATTGGTGTTGATAGGTCCTTCATGTTAAGGGTGAAGAGAAATAGGCAGTATTACATATTGCTGGTCAGAACGTAAACTGGAAAAACCTCTTTGAGTAGCAATTTGACAATATCCGTCAAAACTAAAAATTCACAGACCGCTTGATACAGCAATTTTACTCTGGGAAATTTTTTTTTTTTTTTTTGATCCAAATGTTCCCAAAAGTTAACATGCACTTGACACCAAAATCAGATCAGGTCAGGACAAGAAGAGAAAACTATATGCCAGTTGGACTTATGTAAATATTAACAAACTGAATTCAATGATGATTTCAAATAATTCTTAGACCAGCAGGATTTCTCCTATGAGTGCAAGTGTATTGGTCATTGTTATTAACTGCAAACAACAGAAACTAATTTATAGTTACTTAATCAGAAAACAAAAGTACCAAAAGAATATTTAGTAGCTCACCAGGTTTTCAGGAAGCCTGGAGGATTAGGCTCAGAAACAGGCAGGGCAAAGAGAAAGTACACATCCAGAACCACAGAAAACACCACACCACAGAACCAGCCTGATGAAGAGTCCATCCTGGCACAAGGAACGCTCTGCCGGTGCTCTGGATCCCACGCTGCAGATGAAAAATCCCAGGTGGGTACATTCGATTGGCTAAACCTGGTCACATGTCTGCCCAGCAGCCAGGAAAACTGGGAAAATGGGAAAGTGGCATTTTTCAAGTCTACAATTAGAGGTAGGCTGTCTCCTACCAAGAGAGATAAAAAGGGTAGTCCCCAAACATAGAGAAGGGACTCAAGTGCCAGGTAGTCTAAAATATGGCCAAGGCCCACCACTGTCAGGTTTCCACTCAACAAAAAAAAAAAAAAAAATCAATTGATGTAATTCATGATATTAACAAACCAAAGAAGAAAACCACGTAATCCTCTCTGCAATTGTTTTTTTAAAAAGTATTTAATAAAATTATTCATTTAAAAAAACCATTAGCAAACAACCTAACTAAAACATGGGCCAAAGACCTTAACAAACATCTGACCAAAGAAGATATATAGATGAAAAATAAGCACATGAAAAAATGTTCCACATCATATGTCATCAGGGAAATGCAAATTAAAACAACGAGATACCACTACCCACCTATTAGAGAGGCCAAAATCCAGATCATTGACAACATCGAATGCTGGCAAAGGTCAAGAGCAAAAGAAACTCTCATTCATTGTTGGTGGGAATGCGAAATGGTACAGCGGCCTTGGGATTCAGTGCGAAAACACCAGATAGAAAAGCACACAGACCATAAGTGAAGGAGACCCACTTACTAATCCTGAAGCATCTGCTGGAGAGGCAGGAGACAAGTAGGACTCTCCCCAGGGACTGAGATGCTAGTGGCAGCCATTTTTGTGATCTCGTTTCGTCGAGCTAACACCAGCACTAGTGAGCACCATCTTGACATCTTCCTCCTAGCCTACCAGCACCAGTGGACACGACCCACCAAGGACTTAGCCCACACAGGGAACACCCCAGGAAAACAGTTCCAGTAGCCAGAGGGGATTGTGCTGCTGGGCCCCACAGGACATCTCCTATATAAAACCACTATTTCAAGAGCAGGAGGCGTAGCTGATATACCTAACACATAGAAACGAATGGAGAATTAGGCAAAATGAAGAGGCAAAGGAATATGTCCCTAACAAAAGAACAACACAAAACCTCAGAAAAAGAACTAAACAAAATGAGTATAAGCAATCTACCCAATAAAGTGTTCAAAGTAATGGTCACAAAGGTGCTCAACAAACTTAGGACTGAAATGGATGAACTTCAACAAAGTGAGAACTTCAACAAAGACAGAAAATGTGAGAGGACACCAGTCAAAGCTAAGCAAAACAATGACTGAAATAAAAAAAAATACAAGGAATCACCAGCAGATTAGATGATACGTAATAATGCATCAGTGATCTGGAAGACAGAGTAATGGAAATCGCCCAAGCTGAACTGCAAAAAGAAAAAATAATTTCAAAAGTTAGGATAGTTTAAGGGACCTAGGAGACAACATCGAGTGTACAAACACCATGGTGGCTCCTCAAAAAATTAAACACAGAATTATCGTATGACCCAGCAATTCCACTCCTAGGCATGTACCCAATAGAATTGGAAATAGGTGTTCAAACAAATACTGTACACAAATGCTCACAACAACACTATTCACAATCACCCAAGAGTGGAAATAACTCAAGTATCTGTTGACTTATGAATATAATAACAAAATGTGGTGTGTCCAGCAATGGAATATCATTTATCCATAAATAGGGCACAGGCTACAACATGGGTGAACCCTGGAAACATGGTAAGTGAAAGAAGCCAGACACACAAGCCATATATTATATGATTCCTTTTATATGAAATGTCTAGAATAGGCAAATCCATAGGGACTAGAAGAAGACTAGTTAGTGGCTGCCAGGGCCTGGGGTGAGGGGAAGGTAATGAGAAGTGACTGCAAGGTTTCCTTTTTGGATGATAAAATTAGAATTAAAGTTAGATGAAATTAGAAACTGGAATTAGATAATGGTGATGGGTATACAACATTGTGACTATACTAAAAGCAACTGAACCGTACACTTTAAAATAGTTAAAATGGTCAATTTTATGTTATATTGTTGCAGAAATGTTGCAGAAATCAGACCAGCGAGAAACCAAGCACCACTCAGAGAGTTGGAGAACTCAGGTTTATTACGCCGGCGGTCCCAGAAGAGCTAGTGCTCTGAATATCTGGGCCCCGAGCTCAGATGCAACTTTGCTTTTATAGGGCTTAGTTAGTATTGGCCGATTGGTTAATTTGCCTTCAGACGGTTACAAAGCTCGGGAGTTGCTATGGGTAGCAGGCAGTTACAGTTACAAAGCATGGGAGTTGCTATGGATTACAGACAACATTTATTATTTAGACAGAACAACCAAAAGGGAGGATTTAGTTAATTTCAAGGTCACCCTGCCCTACAGCCTATGCGGCAAGCATATCTACAGAAGCAGAACAAAGAGCTGATTATAAGGTTAGCCTTTTGAGTGAAAATTCCTCTTTAATATAAATGTACAGCCAATTGTCCAGGGTACCCTCCAAGCTGGGAGCAGTAAAAAGGTATGGAAGAAAACATTAATCACCAAGGAAATTTTTAGTTTGAAATGTATAAATTAAAAAGAAATTATTTTTAATCAAAAATTTAAGTCGGTCCGTGCCTGGTATAAGTCTGGAGGAATAGCTCTGGGCAAAGTTCATGAATAATTCCCTTTCCACCTTACATGTCTCTGCATTGTTGAAAATTTTAGCAACAGATGTACCATATTTATAATCAGAAAGAAAAGCATCGATCAAGAAGAAGAGACCCGGAAGCTGGGGAGGGGACCAATGAGGAAAGAGCGACCAACGGTCATGACCTGTGACAACTTAGTAGGACCGCGGGGTCGCTTACCCCTTCACCCCGTGCTGCCACTCTGTGAATAATAAAAAAAGCATGCGCAGGAAAGGGGCTGGCAGGTGTTCCCAGGGTCTCTACGGAGACAAAGGCAGGGTATTCTGGCAACAACAAGCCAGGCCAGAGCGGGGTTGGTGAGAGATCCACAGGGAACAGTGGGGTCTGGCGTCTTGACCATGGCCACCTGGCCTGGGTGGACTGAGCCTCAAAGCACTGGCCACAACCACATCCCCCTACTACGCGGTTGCTTCTGCAGAATCCTGCAGATCGGGCTGGGAGTGGAGGCTGGACACCAGGACCAAGGGCTTAACGCAGTGATGGAGGCATTTCAGAAGGCCGATCCCCGCCCTCCGCTCAGATTGACAGTCATTAAAGGATGCAATAGGGTCCACTCTGGAGGACTTTTAAAATGATGCAGAGAGGTTACCTGGTTGACAATAGGGCCGGAACCTGTAAGGCACCCCGACAGATAGTGTGAGGGCTCAAACACACATCAGCGATAACCACGGACAGTACGTGCGGCCCCACAGGCCCTGGGCACCCAGCAAAGAATCGTGCAGAAAAATGAGCGACAACATGCATGCTGAAGCCAGAGTCAAGATGGCCTTTCAAGTCCCAAAGGACTCCCAGCATCTTGGCATCACTCGCACCTGCAGTTCCAGTCCTAACAGGATGCAGAGACGCAGCTCTCTGCGGGCTCCCAGGAGACCTGGCTGTATGGTCGTGTCCTCACAGCACGGCCCGGCAGATCCAGGTTTTTGTGGGACCCGGAGCTTATGTATTTTGGAAGCCCTACTTCAAGAACAAAAGTGCAAAATTACAGACATAAAATTAGGCAAGTGCATGTTTTTTAGGATGAGTAAAGATATGGCAACACATTACAAATTTTTAGAAGTCGGCAAACACTAAAACACAATGTTTATGTTCGTTAACTGTCTGTCCTACCTCTGTAATATTTTCCTTACATTTTTAGTTGCATAGCCTCGGATTGTTTCTTCCCATGATGATTTTGAAAATATTTTCTACAGAAACTTGTTTCTTATGGACACTCAAGATGCACAGCACGTGATTTCCCGAGCCGCCTCACCCATGGTCCGTAGTGGTGCGACTGGTCGGAGCCCTTCCGGCACTGGGATTCTGACGAACCCTACTTCACAAAATCCAGACCAAAACGAGAAATAGAGAATAGCGTGTCTGTAATGGTCTCACTGCATTACACGCATATTCCTGACAAGACAGAACTTCAATTGTAATCAGGAGAGAACAGAATCTTCCACTTACAGTCTTATAACAGGAAGAATTTTGGTCTGATAACAGGAAAATTTTTCTACAGACGAGCTTTTCCTCCCCCGCCCATGTACTTCTGGTGCCGGGCACTGCCGGGCACGTCCGTATGACCAAAGCAGCACTTCTGTCCCCGTGTCTTCACAGCGTGACACGGGGGAATGGACGTGGTCACTGCTAGGATACTCCTGGAAGCCACTTCCAGCAGAATGGCTGTGAACCGCATAAATCTATCCTGTTTAACCTGAACCGAGTATATCCCCACTCAGCTTCCCTTTAGTCCCACCCCCAAAGAGGCCACAGCCATTCCCCACCCAACAGGTGACAGAAGGAGCCAGAGAGGGGGAGACAGAGGCTCTCTCCAATTACACCTCGAATCCCTTGCTTTCACAGATTTTACACAGAAACATTCGAGCCCACGCACAGAGTGTCCGGGCCCCTCCCACAGAGCCTGACTCTTAAGCCTCCGGAAGGCCAACCTGGGGGTGAGAACTCCTGAAGCAAAGCCCCTTCCTTGAAGGAAAACTGCATGAACCTCTCTGTGCCGTCACCAGCAGGGACGGAACTAAGTGACTGGAAGGTGTAGGGAGAGCGAGATTTAAGATACCAGCTGGGTCTGAGAAATATACCGAAGGCACGAGGGAACGAACGGCAGGCCCCGAAATGGCGGGGATGGACGAATAAGGTGACCGGTCAATGCTTGAGGAGACAGAGCAAGAGACGAGGAGAGAGCTGTGGCTGACATGTGGACGAGGGTGCTGGTGGGCGGAGCCTTGTGTGCAGGTGGGCGGAGTCTGGTGATGGGGTGACTAACAGTTGAGGGCGGGGCTGAAGACTAGGGTGGCCCGACCGATAGACGAGTGGACTCAAAAGATCAGGGCCATGGACACGCAAACTGCGATGAAGGCCAGCACGGGAGAGGTCTGCGCAGAGGGTGATGAGCTGTGTCGAAAGGTGAGTGGCGGGTTGAAAATTGGACGGGCGGGGCCTGGAAATGAGAGGGCAGGGCCACCTGGGCCAGGCTCCCCTCCCTCCCAGCCCTGGAGGTGGGGACAGGAATAAGAGGGAACCCCTCCGAGCATCTGCGAGGTCTTCCTTCCCCGCTCCAGCTGGAGAAGGCGGCCGTGAGGATCCAGGCATGGTGGCGTGGCATCATAGTGCGCCAGGCGCTGCTCCACGCGGCGCTCAGGGCCTGGGTCATCCAGTGCTGGTGGAGGTCGATGCAGGCCAAGATGCTGGAGCAGAGGCGGCGTCTGGCGCTGAGGCTCTACACCTGTCAGGAGTGGGCAGTGGTGAAGGTGCAGGCGCAGGTTCGCATGTGGCAGGCCCGCAGACGGTTCCTCCAGGCCCGCCAGGCGGCCTGCATCATCCAGTCTCACTGGCGCTGGCATGCCAGCCAGACCCGAGGCCTGATCCAGGGCCGCTATGAGGTCAGAGCCAGCCGGCTGGAGCTGGACATCGAAATCCTCATGACCTAGGGCGCTGGCGGGGCCAAGGAGGCTGGATCTCTCTTCCAATAAAGAGGCTCACCGACCAGAGTCTTGCCCTTCGGAAATCAGACCCAAAGAAGAGAGACTCGTCCCTAACCTTCCCGCCTTCCACCCCCAAAATGGTTCCCTTGCATAGTCTCGAGCCCATCCCAGGGCAATGCACCCTAGGCCCTTGCTCCAAATGCAAACCTGACCAATCTTGCACCCAAAGGAGACCCCAGGTCTCAGGTCAGACTCTGACACCTCAGCTAGCCTGATCCCAGCTCCCTCCACAAGTGGAGGTGGGCAATGGGCAACCCCTGCCCAGGCATCTCCACTCAGGATAGGACAGCAGAGTCTGGCTGCAGCCGGAGTCAGCTAGGAAGGCCAGGATTCCACAGTCCTGTGCTCGGTAGGGCCCCCACACCCGTGCAGTGCTTGGCGGGGAGCCAGGAAGACAGGGCACCCCAGCCGAGTAACAAACAGCTGCATAGGTGCTGTGTGTGCCTCACTGGGGGACAGCAGGCAAGGCCAGCCCCTAGGCAAGGCCGGGGCTGAAGATGAGGGGCAGTGTCTGTGCCTGGGCTGAGAGACAAGGCTTCCCTCTCCTCTGCTGGGGGTGCCAGGCATGGTGGGGAAACAAGCCAGGGGGACCCAGGGCTGGCCAGAGGGAAGGGCTGCCCCTCTTCCACTGCATGTCATCGGTCCGGGGATGCAGCCGCCGGATCCCACCGCACCCTCAGAAGCAAATGTTGGTCTCCGAACCTGCATCCCAGAAGTCTGAGGCTCCTGACCCCACCCCCCCGGGGTTTTGCTGTGGGGCGGCCTTGCACGGGGGTGGGGGGGACCAGTGGGGAGGTGCCCAGGAGTCAGAGGTCTTCATGGGGCCTCACAGCTGGATCAGGCTTCCCTCCCTCAGTCCCCCGTGTGTGCATGTGTGTGTGCATGTGTGCATGTACGTGTGTGTGTTTAGGGGTCAGGGGCGGGTCTCCAGAACAGCTGTGGCAGATGTGAGAATTCACGGATCGGTCCGCTATCCGTCACCCCCAGTGGCTGCAGCCAGGCTCCTCGCTCTTCCCGGGGTCCCCCTTCAGGAGCTCCAGTCTCAGCTCTCTCCACCCCCTCCTTGCAGCAGGGAGTGGTAAGAAACGAGTTACGTCTGCATGTGACCGTGGACCTGCATGTGACCATGGACCTCGACAGGAATTCTGAATGAGCAGACCAGCCCTGTAGGCGCCACACCTGCTGTGAGGGGTGTTTAAAACCTGGGCCATCGAGGGTTTGACTCTCTGATTCTCAACCTACATAGGACATTGGAATCCGTGGGACGTATCAAATGCTGATGCCTGGGCCCAGCTGGAGATCCTGCTTTAACTGGGCTGAGAGAGGCTGGGCATTGGGACTCAGTGTGTTGAGCTAAGCCCCTCCCGCCCAGGTTATACACCCCCACTGGTGATGGGGATGCAAACTAGGACCTACCCAGGCAAACCGGGAGGTGTTCCCAGCTGACTGGCAAGCCTCAGTGTGCAGAGGATGGCAAGAGGTGGGGACAGGGACAGGGTGGGGAGAGAAAGTTCCAGCTGCACAGGAAGATTAGAATTTAGGAACGGAGAAGCTGAAATTAAGGGCTGGTGGTGACCTGTGAGTACATTAGATACAGAATGAACATTAAATAACTAAATACTGCTATAAAACAATTTAAACGCGATAAAACTTGACAGCGTAAACTACCAACTAACGCTGGTCTTCTCAACTTCTCAACGAGGAATCGATCGATAGCGCCCACAAATAAAAATGTGGTCAGTGAAAACCACAGCGCCGCAAGGCTGCCGGCGTCAGAGTCTGTGACTCAAACTCACAGGACACCTGAAGCTGTCCCACGCTCGAGTTAATTTTGCTTGGAGAAAGGATCCAGAACAGGGAGCTCGGGGTCTCCAGGCCCCCCGAGACTCAGTAGCCGCTTCTCACGCTGCCATCCCTGAGGGCGGAGAGCTGACGTGAGTGCAGTCCACTCCAGCCCAGAGACGCCGCTTAGCACCTGTGGGTGTCTGCCTGGCTCCCGCTGCTGGGTGCAGTGCCTAAATGACATTGCTGAGCACAGTGCACAGATGACAGGTTGGGCAGTCAGCCATCCCCGAGACCAAGTGCAGCTGGGAGGACCTGGTTCCCCCGCCTCCCGTTCATGGCACCAGAAGATTGACAGTGGGTCAGAATCTCAGATTTCCTGAGGCTAAAAGAATGTTTACCTCTAAATGTCACTGTCTCTTTCCTTAAATTTACAGGACTCTTTGGGGGCGGTGCGGGGAGGGTGAGGAGGGAGGTGGGGATATCTTTTGCGGTGAAGAAATGTATGTGAAGTTCAACAATGTTTTCAGTTTCATTTCAGATTCATTTTCTTCAATTAGAATAAAGTAAAATTAAATAGTCTTCACTAAAAAAAATAGACATATGGCATGATCCCATTTTTATGGAAGTATTTCTATCTCTCCTTCTATCTGTAAAAATGCATCAAAATCTAGGCTGCTGTACCAGAAATGTTAACGATAGTTATATTTGAATGATGAAACTGGAGGTAATACTTTTATTTTCTTTTTGTATTTTTTCTGCAAAGCTTAAGCTGTTTATAGGGAGCATATATTGTTTTCACAGAAAGAATAGATTTTAAAAAACTAAGAATTGACCTACCATATGATCCAACAATCCCTCTACTGGGTATTTACCCCAAAGACTTGAAAACCCATATCTGAAAAGAGATTTGCACACCGATGTTCATAGCAGCATTATTCACAGTGGCCAGGACATGGAGCAACCAAAGTGTCCTGCTTCGGGCTGTAACAGAGAATATGTTCATAGTTAGAAGCCAATTGCTGATTTTAAGCTAGTATGCTCATGTGAAAATAAATGAGCAACTCACAAATAAGGTCAAGGCTATTATCTTTTTTGTTGTTATTTCAAGCCTAATGGCTGACTTCTTACATCGAAATACCAGAAAAACAGAGTATGTATTAATTTAAATTTACTTAATTTAAACCTCTATTAATTTAATTTCTAATTTAATGTGAAAGAAAAAGTTCAGGGTGGGAGAGGAGTAGAGAGATAGATGGGGAAAGGGGGTCAAATATAGGGGGGTAAGGGGAGGGCGAAGGGAGCAAAGGGGATCAAATATATGGCAGCTGAAGGAAACTGCACTTTGGGTGGTAAACACACAGTAGAATATACAGATGTCAAATGATAATGTGCACCTGAAAATTATGTAATTGTATTTACCAATGTTACTCCAATAAACTTAAAAAAAACCCAACCCTGACATCTCAGCGAGAGCCCTCGGGGTTTAAGGGTTCCCTACTTTACTCTCCACCTCATTTCCCTCTTCCCCCCCTCTTTCCCCTCCCAGCTTTCACTTCCCTCGAACCCCCCACCTTCCTGCCCTGCTCTCTCCAGACCCAGCCCTCCTCCCCCAGACTGAGGACAGCCATCTTTAGTGCTTAAAGCCTCGCTGGCCCAGGTGGAGTTGTAGGCTCCCTTCTTTTCTTGCAGAAGGTTGGGGTGGGGACACTTTCAGAGAGTTTTGAGACCTTCCGCGACCCCTCTTTTCCACGACCCCTCCCCCATCCCAGGAGAGGAGGCCCGAGCAGCCGGGGTGGGGTGGGAGGAATGGAGAGCTCTGGCATGAGAGTAGCTGGTGGGCAAAGTTCCCCACAGGGTCCAGGGTCCTCCCCGCCAGAGGTGGCAGGGATAGAAGATTCTTCACTGAATACCCTTCATACCCATTTAGCTGTGAACCATGTTAATTACTGCCTTTTAAAAATTATTATATTTTAAGGAAAATATTCCCGAGCCACGCAAAGGAGGGTGGCTTTTCAGGTGCAAGGAGATCAGAGCCCCGTCTTGGCCTGTCCTGGGGCTGGAGCAGCGAACAGCACTGCAGGTCCCATGGGGCACAGTGCCCTGGTGCCCGTCTGCTGGGGGCTGCACCCAGGCCTGGGTAATTTGGGCCGCGCATCTGGAACGGAAACACCCCAATAAGATTGCCAAAATTAGCAAATGAAAACACAAGATGTCAGGTTAAATCAATGTCAGGTAAACAATGAAAATGTTTAGTCTAAGTATGTCCCGGCATTGCATGGGACATACTTAGACTAAAAATTTATTCATTGTTTATCTGACATTCAGATTTAACTGGGCATTCTGTATTTTATTTGGCACCCTTACACCCCAAATATTGGCTGGCGAGGAAGAGCTATCCCTTCAATGATCTTTTTTCAGTTTTCTGTTTTCTTTTTTTAAATCGTTAACCCGAATTTCCACAGCCATGCCAGCCTGTACATGCAAATCAGTTCACTTTAAAATGACAAATGTCCCTGGCCTGCCCATCTCCCAACGCAGGACTTTGTGCCTCTGGGATGGCGCGGTCCGGGGGGCTTCCCGAAGCTGCCCGGTTCATCAGCTCCTGTTTGGGTCCGCTGCCCACTGCCCCAAAGGCGGCGGGAGGGCGGCGGTGGCCTGGCGGAGCCGTGTGGCCGGGACTGTGCCTCTGCGCCCTCTGCTGGTGAGCCTCGGCCACACGCGCGCGGGACGCGCAAGGGCGCCGGGCTCCAGGACCGCGCCCCCGCGTCCGAGCTCCTCCGGGGACTGGAGGAAGACCCCCAACGCCCAGCTCTCACTGGCTGACAGCAGGTGGCCTCTCCCCCCGTCCAGCCCCTGCCCTCCGTGCTCATCTCCTCCCTCCTCGCAAGCTCTTTCTGGCTTCGTACGCACCACGTGAACATGCGACCTTCTGCCCCACGGCTCCGCCTCCGGGTTCCCCACACCTGAACGCTCAGCCTGGCTCTGCGCGGACGTCCTGCTCCCCTCAGGTGCCAGGCAAGCTGGCTGTGGCGACGCCCACAGTTCCCAGGTGCAGCCAGCTGCCCTTCCTGCCCCGGAGGCCGCGCCATCCAGGTCCCCCACCGAACTGCCAGATGAGCCTGCCTGCTCATAGCCTGCAGCGGTGGCTCCTTTTAAGAGAAGGTGGCTTACTTATTTTCTGTCTCCCCGCCAGTCAGGGCTGGGTCTAGATCTGGTGGC